CAGCGCCCGCGTGCGCAGCACTTGGCAGGCCGCTGGCCGAGTCAGTACCCGACTGCCCGGTTCAGTCGACCGGCAGTCCGGTCCAGACCGGTTCAGACCGGCTGGACCGGTTCAGTCAGTATTTTTCAGCTTCAGTCCCGGTTCATGATTTCAGTGTCATTTTCAGTTAAAATTCTGGGTCCAGTTTAGTTCAGTTAATTAATATCAGTTCAGTTTCGTACTTAACCGGTTTCAGTTATACCGATTAAGTCCGAATATCATGTCAGGTTCAGTAGAGCATCTTAACATAATTAATCAGTTAAGTTATCAGTCTGAGCATAGTCAGTAGTAATTGTTTATATTATATTTCAGTTTGATCAGGCATCAGCACTACCTTCAGTTTCACGGATCAGGTGGGGACTCAGACTAAGTACTGCATTGATTATAATTACGCTACCATGTTTGAGGTATGTATTATCAGTATCCGCTCGGAATGGTCGCCGGTCCATTCGAGGTTCTAGTGGCCTAATCTGCCCACTAGAGTGTGCACATGGTGTCCGGTATTAGTTTGTGCCGGCAGATTCCGGTATTAGTTTGTGCCGACAGATATTCAGTTATCAGTTACGTGACCTATGTCACGAGATCAGTATCAGATTATTCAGACCGGTATCCGATATCAGTTTCAGTTTCAGTTTCAGTTATATATGCCAGGATCATGATATTGTTATTATTTTCAATGTTTACATTAGTATGAGTTTCTGCGGAGCACAGTGTTTTAGTGCTCACGCCCCCACGTATTTCATGTTTTTCAGGTCGCAGGGTCGGGGACGAGGAGTGAGCTGGCGGGCTGTTCAGGATATTTATGGACATGTATATATATGTGTTTTGACCACGCTGTTATTCCGCTAAAACTTTCAGTACTTAAACTCGGTTTTTGATCCGACGTTAGTCGGATAATATATTATAACCGTTTTCAGTATCAGTTTAAAAATTTAACGGTTTTCAGAAAAGTCAAGTTTTTCACGGTAGCACTCCGGATCAGTTTTCGCAAAGTAAATATTTTATTTATTTATTCAGACAATTTGCGAAAAACGCGTACTCTGATATTCAGTAAAAAAAAAGTCGGGGTTTTACAATTGGTATCAGAGCACGTTTCTGCGTCTCTGAAAAGTTTTCAGTCAGTAATTTTTCAGAAAAACCTGAACTGTCACGCTCACGCCTCGCCGACTACAGGTAAGTGCTGATTTAGTTTTCAGTTATAAACATATTACTTTGTCTATGCTCAGAAGTTATTTATCAGGACTTAGTTAAGATGCTCGAATCAGGATCAGACTTTAGAATTCAGTATATTCAGATATGACTCTAGAATTTAGTATCTTCCGATATGACTCTAGAGTTCCTCAGGATTCATGTCAGTATTTATCGGCCATTTTTGGCAACTCGTCAAGAGATTTGTGTGCCTTAGTAATCAGTCAGAATATTATCACGTGTTCAATAATGTTGAACTTTCTCAATGTTCAGACTAAATGCCGCCCCGTAGGGAACCCGATCACCCGACTCCTACTCAGGCCACAGTAGTCGCACAGTTCCGCGACTATCATGCCGAGAAATTCTCCGGGCAGGGAGATCCCCGTATTGTGGACAAGTGGATTCAGGGCCTTGAGTTCATCTTCGAGGTCATGGATTGTCCAGATAGATATCGCGTAATCTGCGCTCAGCTTCAGTTAACCAGTGATGCCCGGCTCTGGTGGAATGGAATGCCTACTGGAACATGCGTCCCGGCGAGAAGACGGGATGTACATGGGAGATGATCAAAGAGCTGATCCGCGAGAAGTACTACCCCACCTACTATAGAGCAGAGATGGAGCGTCAATTTCTATCGCTCCAGCAGGGTACTCGCACTGTTGACGAGTACGAGAGGGAGTTCACCAGACTTGCAGGTTTTGTTTCGGATCTGGTTCGTACAGAGGCTCAGAGGGCACAACGCTTTATTGACGGACTTTACCCAGCAGTCCGTCATAACATTGTAGGTCACGGGACCCAGACGTACGCTCGTGCTGTTGCGATTGCCCAGGAGGTGGACGCCAGCATCAGGAGGGAGGCCGTCCGTGATCGTCCTCAGCCATCTGCTCCTGCTCAGTCATCTTCAGTTCCACCGATGCCAGCCCTACCAGCTGCCCAGCCACCGAAGAACAACAAGAAGAAGGGGAAAGGTGCCCCGATGGACAAGAGGACCCGGCGGAGGCTACAGCAGATTCCACAGTGCCCGACATGCGGACGACTTCACCAAGGCGAGTGTCGCTTTGGTCAGGATGTATGCTACTACTGTCACGAGCCCGGACACTTTGCGAACCGTTGTCCGAAGAAGGCACAGCAGCTCCAGTAGCCTCAGCAGCCACCGCAGCAGCAGCAGCAGCCCCGTCAGCAGGTTCAGAGGCCGCCTCAGCAGCAGCAGCAGAGGGGCAGACAGCAGGCCCGAGTCTACGCAGTCGATCAGGTTGAGGCTGAGCAACAACCAGGTACTATGTCAGGGATGGTTGTGCTTAATAATGTTCCTGTGTTTGCTTTATTCGATACTGGAGCGACACATTCTTTCATTTCATGACGATGTCTTGATGCCATCAGAGTTCATGCCGTTACCGCTGTCGATCCTCTCGAGGTGAGTTTAGCCTCGGGACAAAAGATAGTGACCTCAGCTAAAGCTTCAGATCTTAGCCTTTCCATCGGTGGTCGAGTATTGTCTACCGATGCGTTTGTTCTCGAGATGAGGGACTTCGACCTTATTCTCGGAATGGATTGGCTATCCTTTTATCGTGCAGATATCAGGTGTCATGACTGGGAGATTACTCTTTATCTTCCAGGAGATGAGTCGATCACTTTCTTTGGCTCAAGGAATCGTTCATTGCCTCATGTTGTTTCGATGGCGAAAGCCACTAAGTTGCTGCGACGAGGCAACTGCCAGGGTTATCTGGTGAGCCTTGTCGATGATTCTCAGAAAGCACGATCACCTCACGAAGTTCCAGTTGTTCATGAGTTTGTGGACGTGTTCCCAGACGAGCTTCCAAGAGGACCGCCTAACCGGCAGGTGGAGTTCTCTATCGATCTCATTCAAGGAGCCAGTCCAGTATCCAAAGCCCCATACCGTATGTCGCCAAAGGAGTTACAAGAGCTTAAGACTCAGATTCAGGAGTTATTACGACTCGGTTTCATCCGACCGAGCATGTCACCTTGGGGAGCACCCGTTCTCTTTGTTAAGAAGAAGGATGGATCCATGCGCATGTGTATCGACTACCGGGATCTTAACCGGTTGACGATCAAGAACAAGTATCCGCTTCCCAGGATTGAGGACATATTTGATCAGCTGAGGGGAGCTTGTGTGTTCTCAAAGATTGATTTACGATCAGGCTACCACCAGCTGAAGATTAAGGAGTTGGATATCGCTAAGACCGCTTTCAGGACTCGTTACGGCCATTACAAGTTCGTCGTCATGCCATTCGGTCTCAGCAATGCTCCAGCGGTTTTCATGGACCTGATGAACCGTACTTTTCATCCCTACCTCGATCAGTTTGTTATTGTCTTTATTGACGATATTCTTATATACTCGAAGAGCCAGAAGGAGCACGAGGAGCATCTGAGGGTGGTTCTCGAAACCCTCAGACGAGAAAAGTTGTTTGCAAAATTCTCCAAATACGAGTTCTGGCTCCAGCGAGTAGCCTTTCTAGGTCATTTGATTACTCAGGCAGGTATCGAGGTGGATCCTTCCAAGGTCTCAGCTGTTCAGAATTGGTCGACGCCGAAGAGTCCGTCCGAGGTTCGCAGTTTTCTCGGTCTAGCTGGTTACTATCGCAGGTTTATCGAAGGCTTTTCCAAGATTGCCCTCCCTCTATCCCAGCCTACGAGGAAGTCTGTGAGGTTCGAGTGGACTGACCGATGTGAGTCGATCTTTCAGGAGCTCAAGAGGAGATTAACTTCAGCATCGGTGTTGACTATTCTCGATCCTTCTTGTAGTTTCACCATCTTCAGCGATGCTTCGAGACAGGGCTTGGGATGCGTCCTTATGCAGGATGGCCAGGTCGTTGCGTATGCTTCACGTCAGCTTAAGCTGCACAAACAGAAGTATCCGACGCACGACTTGGAGTTAGCCGCAGTCGTTCATGCTCTCAAGATTTGGCGACATTATCTTTACGGCGGTCCTTGTGAGATTTTCACAGATCATAAGAGCTTGCAGTATATTTTTACTCAAAAGGAGCTCAACATGAGACAGCGCCGTTGGCTCGAGCTCGTCAAAGATTACGATTGCTCAATTCAGTATCATCCGGGAAAGGCGAACGTCGTTGCTGACGCCCTAAGTCGAAAGGTGAGGGGTGACTTGACGTACGTCGTTACTCAGCAGAGTCCATTGATTCAGGAGTTTGCCCGGATGCAGCTGCAGGCGATCGATGCACTTCCCATAGCCATTTCGGGGAGTGTCAGTGTCAGTGTCAGTGCCATGCAGATTCAGCCGACGCTGAGAGAGAGAATCCGGCGAGAGCAGGCTTCTGACGAGTTCATTCGTGTCATGGATGCCAAGGTTCGCGCCGGAAGCGTCGAGGGTTTTCAGCTAGGTGTCGATGGTGCCCTAGAGTTCAGAGGCAGGATCGTGGTCCCGAAAGTCGAGGCGTTGCGGAAGGAGATATTATCAGAGGCTCATACCGCACCCTATCTAGCCTATCCCAGGAGCACGAAGATGTATCATGACCTGAAAGGGTCGTTCTGGTGGCGAGGCATGAAGAAGGACGTCGCCGAGTTTGTCAGGAGATGTTTTACCTGTCAACAAGTCAAAGCCGAACATCAGAGTCCGATCGGCCTCCTGCAGCCACTGCCTATTCCAAGGTGGAAGTGGGAGGAAGTCACGATGGATTTCGTTACGGGATTACCGAGGTCGTCTGAACATCACGATGCCATCTGGGTCGTGGTCGACAGATTGACTAAGGTCGCTCATTTCTTGCTCGTTTCGATGAAGATGTCTTTGGACAAGTTGGCTGAGATTTATACCCGTGGGATCATCCGACTCCACGGAGTGCCCGTTACTATCGTATCAAACAGAGATCCTAGATTCGTCAGTCGATTCTGGCACAGTTTACACGAGGCGATGGGCACGAAGTTAGAATTCAGTTCAGCCTACCATCCGGAGACAGATGGTCAGTCCGAGCGGACCATTCAGACGCTTGAGGATATGCTTCGCGCTTTGGTTGTTGACAGGGGTGCTAACTGGGAGTCGTTGTTGCCGTACGCCGAGTTCGCGTATAACAACAATTATCATTCTTCTATTCAGATGGCTCCTTACGAAGCACTTTACGGTCGCAAGTGTCGTTCCCCTCTTTATTGGGACGACGTCGGAGAGCGACGAGTACTCGGTCCCAAGTTGATCGAGGAGACAGCAGATCAGGTCGAGTTGATCCGGCAGAGACTCAAGACAGCTCAGAGTCGACAGAAATCTTCAGCCGATCATCATCGACGAGATACTCAGTTCGAGGTTGGCGAGCCAGCTTTTCTCAGGGTTCGTCCTATTCGCGGAGTTGTTCGATTCGGAAGGAGAGAGAAGTTGCACCCTCGATTCATCTGTCCGTTCGAGGTTCTCGAACGAGTAGGCGAAGTCGCGTATCGATTAGCCCTACCTCCCGAGCTGTCAGGCATTCATAATGTTTTTCACGTATCTATGTTGCGTAAGTACTTGTGCGAACCCGATCATGTCATTCCTCATTCAGATATTCAGGTTCAGCCAGATCTTTCGTACGAGGAGCGACCGGTAGCTGTACTAGACCGTCAGGTTCGTCGGCTCCAGAAGCGAGATGTTCCTCTCGTACGTATCCAGTGGGATCGCCATGGAGCTACTTGAGAGGCGGAGTCCGATATTCGCGCTCGTTTTCCAGATTTTCAGTTTTGATGTACATATTTTCTTGTTCTATGTACATAGTTCATGTATATTCAGTTATGTTTTGAATTTCCGAGGACGGAAATTTTTAAGGAGGGAGGATTGTAATATCCCGTCAGTTTATTAGTATAAATCATGTTTTAGTTCCGATATATTAATATTGTCGAGTATTAATTTTCGGAATTAATAATTTTCAGTCAGTTCAGTCAAGATTACCGAAAATTATTTTCGACGTCCCGTTTACGTCCGGAATAATTTTGGTAATTAAGCATTATGTTTAATTAAATAATTAAACATAA